CTATACATGAACTATACATGAACTATACATAAAATATTTATTAAATATTTATTACAAAATGTTTGGTTTATCTGGATTAAATTCCAAGGCAATCTCCTTTCAATAATGTTTGAAGTATCATTTATCTTACCTTTCAATCATATCTGAACGTCATCATGCCTCCTATCTATCTTTATTTCTTTTATTTTATTTTGTCCTTATCATTGCTCTCTTTAAAGATTTCCTTGTTATTTCTATTATTCACCCGATGTATATTTGAAGATTTCTTTTGGGGGTTGTTTCTATATGTATGACTACACTATACTTAATAGTTAACTTCTTTATTTTCAAACTTTTGTTTTAAGACAATTGATGATGTCACTGGAGTTATCAATTGAAGCATACCAATTTTATTCTTTAGGTAATGTTGGAATTAAACGCTGACAAATGTAGTGCATCCACTTACTTACCGAGTAGAATATCAGAAGCGAGTGAAATTCTATAAGAAAATTGCACATTGTAGGAAGGAAACAAAGGACGCGGAATTAATGCAGCAGACGAAATAAAGAACAGGGCTGGTCTGATGAACAGAAAGGAGATTCGGAGAGACGGGAAGGGTTCGCAATTAATTACCGACGCGTTAATTAAAAGAGAAAACTATAATAGAACGTAATTTGCCGCCAAGAACCATACAAACGTGCCATGCACCAAAGGCGACGTGCATACTATTTTATTCTACACGGTATAATTATTGCAGGGAGAAAAATAAAAACAAACCATTTTCATTCTCGAAAAAAAAAATAGATGTGAGTGTAAGCTGAAAGTAATGAAGCAATATACATTTATGTAGACTGAGACTAAGATATGCTAATTTGAAACTTATTCAAATGGCGGCCACCTGAGAAGTACACAGAGTTTCACATTTAAAAGTTAAATGAAGATTTAAATCAGAATCCTCTCTTTTTTTGTGCGCGCTGGGTTTCGTTAGGTGGTAGATTTTTCAATAAGCCGTATCATGGAGTTTAATTATTTCAAAGAGACTGCTAATTCGTTCACTTTTGAATTCATGGTGCGCTTTACATTTATGATTTTACGTAATTAGATGGTACACCCCTCGATTAATTACGAAGCAGCGCTAAATCGAACCATACCTTATTTATTAACATGCGTCGTACAAAACACGAAGAGCTGTGCAAATACATTTGTTATGCAATTAACTGGATTATCCACACATCCCGGTACTGTATAAAGAAACATGTATGTTACGAGTGATGAATTAATTACTAATAGCTAAACAACATAAACATACATAGCAGATTACAAGTTATACTTATATACCTATTTACACTTATTAAATTATTAATATAAGATAATTTGATAAATCTAAAGGAAGATTTATTAACTAAATTTTTAATACTTGTACTATTGATTCAAATTTTGAGAAACGATAAAAAAAAACAAATACAATCCGAACTCAGTTCATGTACGTTATGTACGCTAAACGAATAGACAAGAATGGGAAGAAGATGTCTCTTTGTTCGCACGAACGTGCTGGATTTTCTAAATGATTTGAAAAATAGTCAATATATTCGTGTAACTAATATTTTCATTCTCAGTTTGGTTAAAAGGCCGTAGGTACGATTTTTTTGTTCGCACAAACGTACTTGACTTTTCTAATATAACGACTCACAAATACACAATCTTAATGTACATGACTCATATAAGTTTGTGTATGTTAGTTTGTCTGTAAGTGATTTACACACCTGTTTCTTTCTTCTCATGAACGAACTTGACATGTGATTATCTATGTGATTGATGAGATGAATTGTGTTTTTAAAGGATGTTATCTGTTATATAAATGATGTTAAATATTATAATAAGTTGATTGTGTAATTATTATGATGATTACGTGATTACAGATTTAAGTTTCCTATAGTTGTAGCATCAAATTTATTCTACTTCTCATAACCTAACTTCATTGTATCAGAAATAACTTCTTTTTGTAATGATATAATGTGATGAAAGTTATCTGCAGTTGTAGTATAAAATGTTTGGTAAAAACTATGTATTTTATATAATTAAAATGCAAGAGCTTGGTGGTAGTGTGTAGCATTTGTTAATTAGATGTAGGTGTTTAACCGTATTTGGTTTGTTACAGTTGTTGACTGTCAAGTGAGCCCTTGGGGACCGTGGAGCTCATGCGATGCGGACTGTGGGGCAGGAACGATGAGCCGCTCCCGCACGGTGGTGGTTGAACCGCAGAACGGTGGCAGACACTGCCCCAGCCTTCAGCAGAGGCGCGGATGTCAAGTATCCAATTGCCATCACCACCAGGATCCCGCAATCAAAGGTACGTTTATCATTAAATTATGATACATGTCAAAAGCAAACCAGCCCACAAAACGCAACGTGATCATCACCTGAAAACGCTAATTTCATTTTAAGTAAACGCATTAAACAGAGATTTGGCCAGCAGGGTGGATGCGTGATTAATAATTTAATGGACGTTTAAAAAGTGGTGGACGTGTCGGTCTTAACGAGAATTCCGCCTTTAGAATTCCTCGGAATGCGATCCTCTCATTACCCGGAACGTTGTCTAATGATTAATTGGATTATCCTTGTGAGGTGTGCCTTCGAGCGGAGGTGATGTGCATATGCAAAAGTTCCTCGAATTGATTAATTAGGCAAACATTGAGTTTACCATTTAGTGGTTTTGAGGGTGCCAGCGGAATGAGCGATGATGATGATGTATCGGAATAGGATATTTTGAGTAATGCGCGTTAAACATGCCAATGTTACTTGTACCTTGCACCAGCTGTGCATTAATTATTACGGTTCGGGGTTCCGGGTGGAAGGAACGAAGGAGGCGGGACATGACCGGGGCAGCTCCTGCGGATCGTTCCCCAGATCCTCCTAATTTATAATACACGAGTGGATTAACCCTAATCTAATCTGCAATGTAACCGAACGTACAAACCTGTATCAAAATCCATCCTTGCATCTATTTCTCATAAAAGATACCATTCCAATACAAATATTTTAATTGTATTGTCTACATGTGTTCATTGTATTCTGTTAATTACTTTTTCCCGTTGTTTTTCTTATTCATATTAAACTACGTACATAGTGATTTTCATTTTCGATTTAGTATAGCGACCTAAAGGTGTACTAGAATGTTTTAGATATTTCTCGGGAATTCTATTATTTTTCTTGTATATAAATACAACAATACCTTGCATAGTGCGACTTAGATCAGTGTGGAATCGCTATAGTACGATTTGAAAATTTCAAAGCAACCTAAATTTGATTTAAAAAACATTTTTCTTTGTACATAAATGAATTGATTTTCTCTATAAAGCGTCTTCGATTAGTCCGGTTTCAAACAGTGCTGTATATAAATGCAGCAATACTTTGCCCAAATCGGCTGCGAACAGTGCGGATTTGCTATAATCCGGTTTTGAAAATTTCAAAGCAAACTGGATTTTATTGAGCAAAAAAATAACAACATTTTTCTTTGTACATTAATGAATTAGTTTACTCTACAAAATTCTCAATTAGCCCGGTTTATTGATGTATATAAATACAACAATACCTCGCATAGTGCGAATTAGATCAGTGTGGAATCGCTATAATACGATTTGAAAATTTCAAAGCAACATTTTTCTTTGTACATAAATGAATTGATTTTCTCTATAAAGCGTCTTCGATTAGTCCGGTTTCAAACAGTGCTGTATATAAATGCAGCAATACTTTGCCCAAATCGGCTGCGAACAGTGCGGATTTGCATCCGGTTTTGAAAATTTCAAAGCAAACTGGATTTTATTGAGCAAAAAAATAACAATATTTTTCTTTGTACATTAATGAATTAGTTTACTCTACAAAATTCTGTTTATTGATGTATTTAAATACACAAGTATCCACCTCTATATTCCCAGGCTGATGATTATCCGAATCCATTACCTACATGTAATTTTTTTTATATGATACCGCTAAAGTTGATATTTCCTATATATTGACTATGTATAACATGATACACCTGTTAGTTTATAGAAAACTTATACTGTTTTACACTTATTATAATTTATTAGTTTTCCGAGAAATGGAAAATTTAAATTCAATAAAATATTCTTGTTTATATAAAAAAAACTACATACGTATTATTTAGTATAGTGAGTTATAAGTGTACTAAAAAGTTTCCGATTTTTCCCGGTAAATAAATACTTAATATATACCAACATTTCTCATTTTTATATTTCAATAATCTATTTTAATTAATTCTTACAAATAATTTTAAAATATATATAAGTTATCAATATATTAATTAACGTTGAATTTCTTATGTAACAATAATTCTAATACAAACAGCAATTTAACAACCTCACGTTTAAATTGTCATTTAGTTGCAACAGCCGAGGAAACGTTCCCATCTGATTTACGATTCATAAGTTTTCGCACGAAGTTTCGATGCGGACGTAACGAACAATAGTTACAGTTCCGCGCAGTTAACAAGTTATTTCAATTGCGATTTTAATGTAATCTCCTTATTGCTATTATTATTACAATCATAATGCGCGAAATCAAATTTTAATTAAAATAGAAAATAGCACCGCATTGTACGTAAAACGAACCCAAATCGATTGCTCGATATTTCGCGGAGTTAAGGAGCGGACGGAATTTAATATTCTGTAATGAAATTTTCAGTACAATTCAATATTAAAATTGCAAACTTCGCTAAATGTATTATTGTATCACGATTGATTTAAATTTGAATTTTATTAAATTTTCATTAAATTAAAAATACTAGCTTTTATCAAAGGGGATAATTATAAACTCAATAAAAAAATATATAAAAAAAAATTAGGAAATATTAATAATGCTTTATCTTCTAAATAGTCGATTCAATTAGTTTAAATTGCTATTCCGTCCGATGCATGAAATGGTGAATGCGGTCCGATCGCAAAAGCTACCCTATTTGCGCAAATATATAGAATGCGAGTTTTCGTATAATGAATAACGGAGTTTAATTAGTATTCTAATTGATTGACTCATTATGTATTCTATTTATAGATGTAACAAGTATATGTAGATTATAAAACATGAAACGTATACATTGTATACTCTATAATTAAATCATTTAAGCTATAGTATAATATTGCAATAGTTCTTCTATCAAAAGAAACGTGTCTTTACATTTTTTATTTGGAATCAAATTCATGCTAAATACTCACACTTTAAAATGATGTTATTGGTATAGTTGTATCGTTTATCATTTAGCTGTAATTTAAAATCTAACTTGAAGAAATGTTTTTTAAAGCATAGAATAAGCAATGTCTTTACATCTTTGCTTATATCTAAAAAAGTGTACTCGAAACATTCATTGTTAAGCAACCAAATTAAAGCCAAATATATACTATTTAAAAGTACACTATACAATATATTTACTATAGTTACAACTTTTGTCATTTAGCTGTAATTCACTGTCAAACTTCGAAATTATAGTATAATTACTAAACTACAAATAGTAGAATCTAATTTTAAAATAACAATAAAAATCTGTATTAAAAATATAAACTGGTTGATTATTAGTTGAGTATGCGAGGAATATCGAAATTTCATGCCAGAATGTAATATTTGGAACTAGGGCCAATATCTGACAATCATCCGACAAAATATAACCAGAAGTTGTGGTATGAAAAGAAAATAATATCAAATCAGTTAATAAATGTCGATAAAAATAATGTTAGCAATGTATTAATTCAGAAGAAGTTGTTTTTCATTGGAGAAATAAGATAAAGGACAAACAATCAATTAATTCCTTCGAAATATGAAACTGGTTGAATTTTTAGTTAAGTATGCAAGGAATTTCGAAATTCATTTGCGCTGAGAATGTTACGAGGACGCGCTATCACCAAGCCAGAATGAAAGTGGTAGAAAAAAGTCCACAAATGGAATACTTAGGGCTTTATAGACCAGTTACGAAGAAGAGGACGAAAGAAAAACAACACGTTTCCAATCATCCCTATAGCACTTAATTTTGCAGCAAGGCCAATTTCCCTCCCTCGACCAACATGCATGTACTTCAGTTTGCTTTTCTGGGAATTCAATTATGCAATTGATTGTTACATATAGGTGTATAAATATGATGCCGGTATATTCATTATTGAGATCGATATTAGGTCTGGTTCCTAGAAACAATAAAGCACGACGAAGTGATTGTAGGCGTAACGGTTCAATTATTAGAAGTACATTCCGCTAATTAATTGGGTTAATTGCTTACCTGAAGAAGGCTATGCTCGAATTCATAAGTATTCGGATTATTTTCTACGGAACGCTCATTTTTTTTTGTATTATTATTATTATAAGCCTAAGTCGATGCTGGTTTGTGTAAAATCAATAATGGTGTTAGCTCGGAAAACGTTCATGCACTTAATTAACTCATACGACCTAATAGAGCACTAAATTCTATCCCGTCTGCATCAATGCCTTTTTCCTATATCATTTGCACGATTTGTAGGAGCTTTCTCGACATATTTTTTTTATAATTTTATATCGATTATGTAGTACAAAATATCATTATTATATATATCTACAAGTTAATGTAATAAATACTACAAATTTACTGAATAGAATTTTTTTTTTTAATTAATTTAATTTCACTCTCATTATTTTTGTAAGATCTATTTTTTATTTACAATATTCCTAGAGGAAAATTTTCTAAAATTAATATATAATTAGTATTTATTTATATGTTACTCAATGAAAATGTAGTTTGTAGTGTTGTAGCTTTGAAATTCACTATAGTAAATCCGGACTGATTGTAGCATATGAGAGATATTGCAATACTTTAATTTAGAATAACATAACAATTTATTCAATTATGAATCAATGATTTCTTTCTGATAAACTATTTAAACATTTTATAAATTTTCAACTAATTATAATAATTTTTACAAAATAATCTCTATTTGACCACGAATCAGTAGTATACAAAATCAGTTGTAATCAGTAATAATGAAATTGCGTTTCGTCGGTATTGGATTTTGCTTTGTTTCGATTACATTTTGTAGCGCGCAACTCAATTTCGGTGGAAATTTCTATCGTTGTTATATTGCATTTTCTATGCGTTCGTTGACAATTCGCCGAATAAGTTGCAAAAGTTGACGAAATTCAATCCACAATAATTATACCAATATTACAATACGCGTTTTGGCTTCAAAATACAGTTTCAATTACATAATATTATTTATTATGTATACATGTTATAATTTACCAACACTCAAACTCAGTAATACTATTCATTAACACAAATAAGGAAATATTTTAATTAATCTTCTTTTATAATTACATCATAATACTAGTATTTAGTAATCCATTATAAATTTATAATTCATAAGTACAACCAGAAGTTGTAGTATGAAAAGGAAACAACATTAAATAAGTTAGAAATAAAGTTACACAGAATGAGCAATCAATAGGTTTAAAAATGTCGAAAAATAGATGTTAGAAATCTATTGATGCAGAAGATGTTGTGTTTCATTGGAGGAGGAAGAATAAAAAGGACAAACAATTAATTAACAAAACTTTTCTTCCTTCGATAAAATCTTTCTATTTTCTTTATGAAAACGTATTTCTTCTATCCCAAAACGAAGTTTTGCTTAACGGAAAGGTGTTTATAGTAATACTTTTTTCGTTATTCAGTAGACTTGTATGCTTTGTATGAAATCGTGTAATACGAGATTTTTCCTTTTATAGAACGGAATCTCACATTTTGTTATATTGCGACTTGTAGAAGAATCGCATTAGATAAAAAGTTATCCCAATACTTTGTATTGCATAATAATCAAAATCTTTAAAGCCTTTTAGATAGATTTGATTGTTGTATAATAAATACTTCTATAATGCAGTAACAATTAACTACTGTACGACAATACAATTTATACGACAATTAATTGCATATTTTTTCGAACCCCTTTAGATGCAAAACACCAATATTTTCTTCTATTTAAATAATTAACCCTTTGTTACTAATTGTGAGGCGCACAATACATTAAAAACTTCATACCTTCTTCATAACTAACTTAGTACTTGTCCTTTTCATCACAACATCTTCATCACATCATCATTCTTAGCAGAATCTATCAGACGACACGCGAGTAGTGATTTTATAATATTTCCTTTATGATTTTAAGCAATGGAATTAGCAATGGAATCAGACAAAGACAAACAATCGGAAACTAACGTTATATTTCACGGAGTTTCTCAGACGCCACGCGAGTAACATTGTTAGGAAATGCCGCGCGAGTAACAGTTAAAACAATGTCTTCTTATTTATAATAATAATTGTCTAATACAGTAATGAAAAAAAATGTAAAGCAAAATAAGTAAAGTATATTGCAAATATAATAATCCCGTCTTATATTAAAATTACCATCCAGACTGAGGAAAGCAAATACCTCTCACACCACTCCAGCATCGCGAAATTGTCCTATCTATCTCTTCAACTTTTTTTTTTATTAAAAGGTGAAGAGATAAAGAAGATGAAAAAAAGGAAAGAATATTTGTCCTGTTCTTTTTATCCCATCGTTTCCAGGCACGGAATTCCATGCGCGTTCCGTCTGGAAAAACTTGAGCTGCAGAGAAAGAGAAATAAATATACAGAGGAAAGAAGGGCGTCATCGAGGACGGTATTTTCCACTCCTTCTTCTTCCGGTGTTGCGCGAGAGGATAAGGGGATTCGTGGACAAGGTGCTCACCCACCCCCCCCCGCACTGAAAGTTATTGCGATTATTAGAATAACGGCTTTCGTTATTTCGCCTTTCATTTTCTGCAGCGCATTTTTATACACTGCTTTTCTCCCTACACATTTTAATCTCCCCCATTTATTGTTTCTTGCCGTTTCTTATTTTTCTTTTCTTTCTTCTTCTTTCCGTTTCTTATATATATATACTTTTTTATGTCCTGCTATTGCGGAACATGAAGCGAGATGAGAGCATAATTGTATTAGGTAACTTTAAAATTTTCTTTTAATTAATCAAGTTTGTTTTAAAAGAGTTAAAAATCTGTAACCGAAGCTGCGGTATCAACGTTTACCGGAAATTATTTCTTACCGTTAATTAACTGAATTTAGGTGGTTTTAGTTAATCAAAAAAATATTAACTTTTATAATTTAAATGTTTCCAACTAGCTTTTATATCATTCATAAATATACTAATCGAAGAAATAAATACAATAGAAGTACAGCACAAAATTAGGCTTATTTCAAAGGCAAATGTAGAATCTATTTTTACTATTCTTAAGGACACTTCAGCCTAAATTTTAATCATAAAATTACTTTTTTATAATTTTACGGGAATTCCCGGGAATTTTCCGGGAAAACTAATCCTCTAATTATCATAAATTCAAAGTACATTTGTTTAACTTTCTTAAGATTAAAAAATAAATAAATATATAATAGACTTTTGATAATTTTACTATAAAGTTGGAGGAAAACTATCAACGGTATAAATTATTTAATTTATTTCACAAACATCCTGAGATTAGCAAACAGATATCGCATGCAAAGTAAACATGAGACAAAGCAGTGATAAACGTTTGTAGAAGATCCTTGAATCCTATTACCTGCTTCTCGCACCCGTCTATCTTTTTACTTACTCGTCCTTCTGCTGAAGACTTTTTTTTTATACTTTAATTAATTAATTGAAGCTTATCAGCTTCCTTTGGGGGGATCATCTCGCCCTTTGTTTAAACGTATATGCAAAACCTAAATAATTTACATTTTTAATTGTCTAGACGTTCTTTGTGGTGTTAATTGCCATTTCCTTTTCTCCTATTCCACAATGGAAATGCATTTTTTCTACCGTAAATTTCAGTGAAGCTATCACATTTCTAAAACAAACTTTATTTTAATCAGTATGGAAACACATTTTAACAATCACATGACTCACATAGTGCGGGTTATGTCAATATTCCGCATTGTTAGAAACCGGACTAATCGAGGACTTAAAATAAACATAGAAATAAATAGGACAAAAAAAGACTTGAAATATTTTAATTTACATTTATTAAATTATCTTCTTTTAGTATTACGTCATAAACTACTATTTCGTAATCCATTATAAATGTATGATACAATAATACCTCGGTTAACGTATACTTCTGAAAACAAAGCTTTGATATAACGAAGTACGCAATTTGAAGCCTAATTTAATATAAACAAAATTTTCGGGATTTAGGTCAAACATTTGACAATTATCCGATAAAATATGAGAAGAAGTAGTAATATGAAATGAAAATAAAATCAAATAATTTAAAAATGAATAATCAATCAATTTGTTTGAAAATGTCGATAAAAGGATGTATTGATGTTTGTTTAAACTATAGAGAATCCTCACAGAATGAAGCCGCACTAGGCGAGGTACTGCTTCAACAGATAATTTAATGAAACTGACTTTAACTTTAAATATTTATGTCTAACATAAGTAAATGCATATTTTCCTAAAGACAATTAATCTGTTTTTTCTTTATAAAACGTATTGCAAAGATTAGTATTATTTGACTGTTCACAATGTCTAATGTATCCACGAAATTCATTGGAGCTGTACATGTTTCCTTTCATAACTTAATCTCCTCTATTAGATCCAGTTCGTTGGCTTTTTTGTTCCTTCCAACTTGTTTCCTTTCTTAATGATTACCCTCATTGGTAATCTTCACACTTATTTATCCACTATATGTCCTTCATAGTGGGATTGATTCCGCTTAATTGAACTCAAGGGTTGATCCAGGAAGTTAGTAGTTGTTTTATTTAAGTTCTCACATAAAACTTAACATTGAGGTTTTCCCTTTAATTTAATAAATTGTTAATTAATTTTATTTTTTCTCAATGATTGCTTAATAAACTTAAACAAGTGAATAAATTGATTAAAATAACAAATTGTTTTTTTCTCTTAAGTTTATTGATAAATATAAATTTTTCTTATACAAATTTTACTAAAAAAAAAGGAGATATTTAAATAAATAAAGGAGAAGTATGACAGAAAGAAATGCATTTATTTTAATCGAACGTGTGAAAGCTGTTGTTAATCTACCGTGTTAGCTGGTGTGTTCAAACCGTTTTGGAAGGAGTGCGATGGATGTGTAAAGGGATTTCGCCGTTTCGGCATGCGTCTAATGATATCCATATTAACGAAATTTACGTCCTCTTCGAAATTATCCGAAAGCAAAGTTTCCTCGGATTCGTGGCGCACGGCTAATGGATAATCCCCTTCTCCTTCGTTCGGAATCCTGTAATTGTCGTCAGCTTCGTTCTCGTCCTCCTCGTTTTCATCATCCTCCGCATTTTCGCCTCGCAATTCAGCTGCATCTTCCATAACTGCAATAGTGAAAGAATAATGCTGACATTCAATTATCATATTTCAACATAGATTTTTTCTCGTAGTTCAAAAGAATAATCAATATATACGATTTTAAAGCAATCAGTAAATTATAACTTAAATTATTAGTGAAATGTTTTTATTTATTCTTTCACATTATTATTATTTATTAAACACATTGACAGGTAAATTTGTTTTTAATTGAAAATAAATCACAGACAAAAATTTAGTTTTTTTCTTGAAATAGATTTTTTATTAATATTTTTTTCTCAAATTGTTGTTTATTAAAAAAAAATACTTTTGGACAAAAAATTATACTTATTCATAAAATTTTGATATTCTATTTTTGAAGATTTTAATATTGTTGTTTATTTCTTAAAATTTAAATTTTCTATCCAGAGTTACTAAATTATTTTATTTCGATTTAGTCGGGATACAGACCCTTTTTTATTGAAATTAATTTCTTTTATTAAGAAATACAGTGAACATTCAATATAGTAACCTTGTTTCCTTTCTTAATTATCATCCTCATTGGTAATCTTCACAATTATTTATCCACTATATGCCTTTCATAGTGGGGTTAATTCCGCCTACTTGAACTCAAGGGTTCATACTCATCAAGGAAAACAGTAGTTCTTTTATTTAAGTCCTCACATAAAACTTAACACAAATCCAGATCCAAATCCTCTATAAATTTTGTTTTAGATATAAAATCCATATAGTCACCTTGACTATTAAAATAAAATTAATCAATGAAAGTCAAATATTAACATGGTAACATGAGAGCAATAAAGAACATATTTTGTTATAACAATTTTATTAAAACTTTTTAAGAACTGCTTTCTCGCGTTTTTCTCATGAAATATAATAACAGAAAACGAAATTGTGATATCAAAGGTAACGGATGTTCACAGTACTCATTTTTTATCAGAAAATAAGATAAGAGAAGTAAATTTACATATATTTTGAATAATTAACGTAGATCTTGCAAACCATTATTAGTTTCAGTTAAATGTCTTAATTTAAATACGAAAAATCTCTTAATAAATATATAAACATAGAGTTGTAATGTAATATTTAGTCGAATTGTAACGTACAATTGATTTTGTTAATGGATATATTACTTAAGCTAAGAAATGTACATATATATTAAATAATTATACTTGTACCATCTTGAAAGTTCTCTACGGAGCCCGGCGCATCCGCCATGTCCACTTCCATTTGTTCGTCTTCTGCGGGTTCCTCAGGAGGACGCTCTTCCTCATGGTTTTCAGTGCTCCTCAACCGTATAACCCTTTGCAATAAATAGAGGAAACCCGCTCCGACGCCGCCAGATGCGGTCATTGCGTGATTCAGTTCACTATCGCCATCACGTGAAATTTCAGCATGCCGCATCGATTAAAAACTTAATTAAAATCTGACGTACATTTTTTTTTATTCGTTTGACGTTATATAATGAAATTTAATATAATACAGGTATCTGACGTGGGGGAATTTACTGTTCATAAAAAGAATATATGACGTTATTTTGACAATTTCTTTTTTTTCAAATCGCAACTATTGTTTGCTTAAAAATTCAAATTATTGTAATATTTTTTTTTAGTATTTTTTCTTCTAATTTATAAACTTAATTCCTCTTTGAGTATTTCATGTGTTTATGTATCGATAAAGACAAAAACACATACATTTCTTTTATGTAATAAATTGTGTACAATATTTATGATTTTCATAATTGTTCTAAAGAAGGTCACGTACTAAAAGTTTTGGAAGTATAATACATTGAATGGATTGAAAAGATACATATGAAAGCTAGATGTTTGTGGTATGTAGCGAATATTCGTACATTGTTGTGGTTCCATCCACTTCGCTGTAATTCGCGTTCAAAGTTGAAAAAGTGAAAAATTAACGATCGAAAAAGATTTTTTTTATTTTGTTTTTTAAACTATTGAAACTAGGACAAAAACTACACACATTATTTAGCAGTGAGTGAAAAGACGAAAAATTACTTAGAAAAACTGGTCCAACGTAGGAAACTTTTTTAATTGATCTTTTAATTGTTTTATATCTTACTTTTCCATTTTTAACCATTATCAATTGTTTTTTTTTTAATTAAATTATATTATTTATAGTATGATTTATTTACTCCACTAGATTTTTCATTACAGATTTTAATGTTTTTATTCTTCATAATTTAATTTCAATTAACGGTTCAATTTGCTAAAGTTCATTAATTTCCCCATTAGAAAGATCAAAGATATCAGTGAATTAAGTTGGAATTGGAAATTTACGATTTAAGTATTTTTTTTATATTATACACGTTGAGAAACTCTTCTCTAAATCATATTCACAAATATAAATTATACTTTACTGAGGGAGGCGAATGTTTACAGCCAACGTGTACAATTATATAGCACTTGTTATTACGGTATTTGCGTAAATCACGTTGAGGTCACGCAGCTAAAGGTTATTTAATGGAACAGAAATAATTTAATGGCAGCACATAACAAATACACGTATTCGCATCTAGATTATTAATATTTACGTGCTGCTAGCATATTAAATTATAGAAATAAATCTCAGGCATAGTAAATTTAATATACAATTTTGCAAGAAATTACTAAATTTCTTACCTTGTTTACGTAATAAATGCCCCATTTCTTACATTATTAAAAGAACGGAAATGCTCAAAGTTTTATCTGAAATTATTATTAAAATATAAAGTATTATATAACATTTCTCATTTGCCATTATTTACTTCAATTTTAACAATTCTTATATGACATTTCATTAAACTTAACATATATATTTTCAAAAAATTGCTATTTTGCAACATTTTTACACAATTCATGTAGTATTTCTTTGTTTATTTAAAAAAAATTGAAAGTGTTTTTATTAAATTATTATATAAATTACGATTTGTATTATTCTGAAAATGTTATATATTTATAAATAATCATATTAGAGCAATACCTGCTTCGATCAATACGGATTCACTATAATCTGGTTTGAAAATTTGTATATAAATTATACAGTCAAGTTTATTTTTGTACGGTTTATGTTGTTTATTTTATATCCTCGTATAGTCGGGTTTCAAACAGTCCGGTATGCGAGGTTTTGCTGTATTTAATTTAAATAAAACGTTTTGCTTTATAAATCTTATAGAAACGTACTGTTACTTATTTGATCTGTATTGTCGATCGTCTGAAATTTGAAGCGTTCAGAGATATTTCGGCTAAAGGAATTCGGAGATTCCAATATACAAAGCGCTTCTTCGTCGAATCTGCTCAGGCTAATAAAATAGTGGACATCGAAGAAAATTCCAGTAGAAATACAGCAAAAATTTGCTCAATAAATATTTTACGCAAAGCAAGATAAAAAGAAAGCAAGTTCATCCTTTGTTGATACAGATAAGAATTTTGTGAATGCTCTAAAGTCTAGAATTCAATAATATTGCTTGGTTATTTCTGCAACGAAATGCTCATATAAAAAAATATGGATTAGTAATAAAAAAAAATTATTTTTTCTACAGTTATATAACTGAATTTACGCTACAAATGACACTTTTGCCGTTGCTCTGCTAAATAGTATCCAGTCGGCGTAAAATAATATTGCAGATAGAAACACTTTTTGCGTGCGACTGCACTTTTGTTGAGTGGATTATTATTTGATAGTCAAAGGGAGGAAAGTCTTTACCGGGGACGGATGAAAACAGTAGAATTGTTTACGTTTTTTTTTTGTTTGTGCAACCTCCCGCCTCATCAGATAATGGAGTTTTTTTATGGTACACACAGTTATTCTCAATTCTCCAATTATTCATATACACAACATGATTGACATACAATTTCTATGATTGTATTGTACAATATGTACAATTTCTATGATATGTTTAATCGGAATATTTACTTGATTTATACCACTAATTAGTTTTTGTTGTATTTTAATTGAATCATTAAAAATAATTAATTAATATTTCCTGCCAATTATAAATATATAATTTATTATTAATTAAACGAGAAGAAAATAAAACTTGAGTCTGATAATAAATTAAAAAAAAAAACATTTATTTAATCAATTAGTGTACTTTGTACAAAATTTCAGTGATTTTTTATGCAATTATAAAGATTTTCTACAGTAATCTAGTGATAATTGCAGCTCCAAGGTTTCAAAGTTGTGGCTTCGTTTGAAAATTCGATGACCCGACAACATCGCACAGGACAAAAGCGCACAGACGAAAGCATAAAAACGTGTCATAACAAAAGCGATTGTAATACTACTTGCGGCTCCTAGACTTTTTTCAACAGGAAAGTGGCTCTTTGCTTCGAAAACGTTGCCGATCCTTAGTATATAGAAGAAATTGATATCTACACAATTTTAAGTCCAGTTTTTCCATAAACATATAAATTAATTATAGTAAAGATTAAAAAACAGCCATTATTAACCTATTTAAAGAATAGGTTGGAAATAATCACCTAATCTTTATTGCTTTTTTATGTCTTAAAATGTGCCAATTGTATACACAATTTTAATAATCCACAATTACAAGAAATTATTTATAATAATTATTAAGTACTTAATGTTTACTATTTTCTTATTCTTATAAAGTATTTATTTTAACATATCTTCTAACTCAATAAGTTCGTAGGGTGACATATAGATGGCGCATCTATCAAAAAATCCATAAGATTTTTCGGAAGTACCAACCTTCAGACGACGCCTGTTAAAATTATGCTATACGATATACAAGTAAATTACTTGGCAATTTACAAGTAATATTCACAGTATGCAATTTGTAATGCTTCTAAGTTAAGTGATTTTATTATATGAAATGCATTTTATTCGAAAGATAGAACCAATAAAATTGTTAAGAATTAAAAAAGCCGCGTGTTCAACTAAATTTGTACTACTATTTTATCTAGTATTCCAAACTCCTTCTTTTCATGTGCCAATAAGTAATGTTTAAACGATGAAATGAACTGTGATTCTTTGTGATTAGAGCCTGGTTTTGCAAATATTGTATTGAAGAATATATATATTATTGTTACATTGCTAAGATTCAGACACTCGACAAATTTCCTTGGAATGGAATTGAAATTATAGCAATTAATTATATATCTCTCAGTAGGTATATTATTGGTTGTGGTATATGTAACTGAATCATCGGTAAAGTAACAGCCTATAGTTTCAGCACTGTATGCCGGGGGTTAATATATAGTGTTGCGAATAACCGCAAGTTTCTACAACATATTGTGCTAATTGTAATAATGATTTATGCGGTTATTATTAATATGAAATATGTTTGTTACACAACTATAATTGGAGATATGTGTTATGTGAATTGAAAATTGTATTGTATAACTTAATTTATGTAATTTAGATAGATTCAAAAATATATAAATTATTCAGGAAATTTTTATTTATTAATCGTATGTAATTTTAATATCTTGTATAATCCTTTAATCTTATATTCACGTTTTATTATCACAAACTTATTTTTTTAAATTAATGTTTAGATTGTATTAGGATTTTATAAATTACATAATTTTAAATACTCTTAAAGACAGAATATAAGCTTCGGGCAAAAATATTCTTTCTTGATTAATTTTTAATTAAAAAATGTGAGAATATTAATTCCGTTGCGTCGTAGAAAAGTTCAGATAAATAAGACTTTTAGATTTAATTATGAAGAATTGACTTTAACATAACGAATTTTCAAGTAAATGCAATAGCAGAAATAATCGGTTTTTTATTAAATTAAAAATAAAAATATGGACAAACTAAATTTATTGATTACGTTGTAATGATTTTTCTTTAAATAAAGTATAAATTTCATTTCAATGTATACACTACTATAAAGGAATTAATAAAACTAAAGTTTTCTCTATGAAATAAAACTGTTTTGATATGAAAATTATGAAATTTGTCTCATTTATTGAAATTTAAAAAAATAATAGAACGTATTTACATAATCATATTAAAATGAGAAAGAATTAACTGTTACAAAGGGCTGTTGACTATAGGTCTTTAAAACAATAAATATAATGTTTAGAATACAAAATAGTTTCTATAAATATTAGTTATTTCTTCAATTATATAAACTGGTGCGTTTTTTCAGACTGTTTTTAAAGAAATTTCAATATATTTTTTTAATAAATTATGGCAAAAAGTCTTTGATTTTTATAACACTTAAATTAGTAAACTAAAATTGATTGTATTCATATAGAAATATGTTTTACAGGTTCTGAAAAAGTGAATCGAATCCGCACTATGTTTATATCTATAAATATCTATTTACTTGCTATTGAAAAAAATATATTTATATATAAAAAAACGGTTTGCGACAAAGTTATTTTGATGAAGTGAACTTTATCATGTGCATAAAGATGAGGATCATTAGGTGAGTTTAATATCAATAAAAGTAAATAAATCTGTTTCAATCCAGGCTGTGCTATTTGCTATACATAGTTCGATGACGAAATAACAAATTTCAATTACTCGTAAATAAATAGCCTGTTTACTTTAGTCGAGAGTTAGAAACGAGGGCAATGCAAACAGAATTAATTGAGGAAGCTATGTGCTGCGACCAGTGCACAAAATGTATGGATATATTTAGAAAGCAACCCATTTCGTCTTTCTTTTTCGTTTTTCTTTCATCCAAGTACAGTCGACTTTCTCGTCTGCCCTGTAATAACGGCGAAACGTCTACTTTTTGTAATTCCTGGTAAAATATTCGATTAATGAGCCGAGGTAAATGCATTCGACACGAAACTCTTTAACTAATTCAGATCGATCGACCGTTGCATTGTTCTTTTCCTGCCAACATATGGAACATGGAACACGCACCGCAACAAGATTGATGGTGCGTTGCTTATATTTACCTACTTTTTTTATTTTTTTCTGTATGAAATTCGCAGCACATAAAATAGCGCCGGTTTTCCCATTAATTAACGCAACAAGCACGGTCGTTGCTGTGATCTGTCTAAATTAGTGGCGACAACCTCAAATGGCACACCTGTATTTTGGATACGTGTACCAGAAATTATCCGGACGCCGGTTTTTAATTGTATTATAAAATCAAAGCTCAACATTCGATTCTCTATTTTCATAATACGTGCAAATTAGTTTCGAATTCTAATCAATGTCCATTTCCTGCATAAATACATTTTGCATGTAGCTTACGCTCAATTAAGCTCACTAATTACCAGTTTTGCGGTAACAAAGGACTCACATGTTTACAAAATAATTATATATCCTATTTCATGATAAGTACAATTACGATATAATTAATATTATCAAATTATTTAAAACTAAATTCTAAATTGATTAATTTGTAGCTAATTTGAAGGTATATTTAATTAAATTTAAAGGCAATTTCCAAATAATACAATGCATAATATGTAAAACGAGATATTTCACGATTCTTAATCATCTTTTAAATATTTAAAAATATCTGGAACAGAATGTCGATCCGATGTTTCGAATAACACGGTTTTAAATAGCACAAAACTAATTATACGATTCTTGACCTGATTTTTTTATAAACAATTTTTAAATTTTGATAGGCAAAAGGGAACTTTGCATTTTTTGCATTAAGTCCGCGAACGACCTTCACAGTTTCCAAGTTTACAACGTTGTTCATGGCCACCTACCTGTATTAACTAAGATTATCATATCTGATGTCATTCACTGGAACTGTGTATTATTTTTGTCGTTTATTATCTTCATCTTCATTTTCTTGCTGCTCATCATCTGACTTTGCCTCAATGTCTTCATCTATGCATCTCACAAGTTTATTTTCTTTAAATTTCCATAAAACTGCACATGGCATACCCCCAGCAATATCATATATATATATATATATAAATAAAAACAAACATATTTTGTCAAACTAGACAAATTTAAAAAATCTACGAAGATGGTTGTTTGTGCAAAAACCACACATTCCAGTCAAATAAATGTCAAAATTATTTATATTATATAATTTTTTATATAAATTATATCTAATATATTTTTGAGGCACATCACAATAATAACCGTCACTCAGGTACGAAAAGATTCAAATAAGGTAGTAGTTAGTGACGAAATATCTTTACTATAGTTGGTTGAGACTACATCTAGTGTTTTATGGTGAAAATCGGTATTCAGTTATAAAACAGAACGCTTTACATATTACGACAGGTCCGAAAGGGTTAACTGTATAATTAGTTCAATATTAATCGTTTGTACTATTTTTTAAAAATAATTAATTTAAAAAATTCTATTATTTGCTTTACAAAAAATATAGGAAGTAGCTGTATCAGAAACCTATATTTTTACATTTATGTAGTGTTTTCCTTTATAGAAAAGTTAATAGAAAAATTAATTAATAATAATATTATATAGATGGTTCATTGTACAAATTAATTATAGTACTTGGACATAAAAAGATTGCATTTAGCACACTTGATAAGAGAGTAATAAAAATGAGGCGATTGTATTCAAAATCAACATTTCTGTGTTCATATAAGGTATGATGATGGAAATACGAATCGTCAGGAAGAATCAACTGCAGCAGCAAATTTGAAACATTAGAATAGTGATTTTCAACTGGTCTATAGCGAAATTTTAAAAATATAATAAATTAAATTATTTCAAAGAAGTTTCAGTTCAAAAACATGGCCCCTTACACTCGTAGGCCCTTCCTCATTGCAGACCCTTGCTGTTCTGTAGCATATTTTGCATATACTTATGTTCTGTTCTTTTTCTTCCACTTTGAAATGGGGTGGAAGTATGTAACTTAGCTCGCACAACAGGGTGCACGTGGCCAGTCAATGTCGTATTAAATACTAAAAAAGATTAAATACACATATCTGTAACACATATAGGATCATATACGAACTGGGACCCAGCGATTCTTATAGGTCTTGGATAGGTAAATAAAATATTATATGAATTGTCATAAGAGTACCAGTAGCAACAAATATATATAAATCACATAAAGTTAATCCAACAAACCGATAAAAATAATTAATTATATAAAAATTCAAATAAATAACTTACATCACATATTCAAACAACACAACCTGATTTTTTGATAAACTTTAAAATTAATCTGTAGATATTGCCTTCTTCTCTTCTTAGCAATACATCTATTGAGTTTGGGAGATTTACATTGTTTGATATCAATTCACTCCACAAGGCCGTTCGTATTCATACTATTATCTGGGCATTCAAAAAATATATGATTTGTAGTGGCTATCACTTGAGCAACCGATCTGTCATGCCCAGATAGTAATCTAGTCAACGCCAATACTTCTTGTTTCTTAGTGAAGCCCATTCCCAAGAACCACGGATTGGTTCCTACTGCAGCATTCCACTCAAAGTATCTTCTCCCTTTATAAGTGGATGCGTTTCTATATATGTATTGCCACTTTTCGCATATACTTCTTTATTACTTTTTTTTGATAAATGCTAAAATAATAAATGTATAATAAATTACTGATTGATATTAATAGCTATGATTCTTCATAGTAATCACGTTGACGTTGAAACAAATGTATTATATAAAAAAACCGCTTTGTTAAATCAGGAAGCCAATCAAATGACGAAGAGTCATTTTAATCAGCATTTTTGATTGACCCAACTGAACTATAATTCCCGTACATCAAAAACAGCGTATCCACATGATGTGCAGCCAATCCGATGCGAATCCTAATCGCAGTTAATTTCTGCGGTATCGGTATTTAACGTAGGGGATGTGCTCAGTTTAGAACATCGGACGGACGTAATTAAATCCTCGTCACACGAATTATGTGCACGGCGAATATTCCATTTGATTTATCGCACAAGTGTGTGAGTGTGTGTGTGTGTGGGCCACGGGATCTGCATTTACTGGATGACGGACAACCGGAAACGTGGCCGGATTAATTACTCGAAACTCGTAAGACTTCATTTCCGGCGGCAAAGGTACCGCCAAAGCATTGAATTCGCATTACACGAGCAATGCGAGAAATGAAGCGTGCGAGAGAAAAAATGAAGAAAACGAAGCAAACATTTGCGTTCGAGTTTTCGCCTCTAAACGAGTTCCATGGAATGTTTGCAGTTTCCACAGAGACGATTCTAACGAGTCTAGTACTATGTGTGTGTGAGAGAGCGAAAAAATGGTGTAAATTTATGATGATGATTTCGTGTCTTAATGAGCTTTGCTTCCATCGATTCGCTCTTAACTGCAGTTCCGTAATCATTCTAATCATTAGTATTCGATAACATGGTGTTTATCGAACAGTTTTCAATTTAAATTTACATCAATGAATGAGTAACATTTATAATCATATTCCCAATGTTCATCATTAAAATTAAATAATAAAATACATATATTAGAGCACGATTTTCATACAGAAACTCTACTAAATTGGTATTATTAATGGAATTACAATTGTAGCTATTTCCAATGAAACAAAACATATTTTTCGACTATAAAATTAATTATTGAAAGGGTATAATAAATAATTAATTCTAAAAATTAATGTCTTACAATATATTTACAATAAATATTTTTTAATAATAATTTTAGGAATTTCAGTTAAAATCGTCTTTTGAAATTAGCCATTAAAGTAAGAAAAGTTTCAATTTTGTTCAGAAGATTTATTTGTAAGATTTTTTGAACTAATAATTGTTAATGGAAATCGTCGAGTCGGACCGGAATGCTAAGTGCTCAGGAACTGAAGATTAGCGAGAAAACCGTATGGAACCATTTGCATAAGGCTGGTCTCAAGAAGAAGCTCGATGTATAGGACAAAACGCTCAGAAATTTTAACTTTACCTAATATAATATATAGATTTCGAATATACACTTTGTATTAAATTATCACTTGGATTAGGAGAAACTAGTTTAAAAAAAATATAAATACTTAAAGGAATTGAAAAGCTTCGATGTGGATAGTATTTTAGATTTAGATTACTTTTTTCTGCCTCCAAACAATTCCTATTCACCTGTTGTCCTGGGACCCATGATCGAGTCCCTGTGCGAATTGCATTTTATAGTAGTATCTAGAACAAAGAAATTGAATAAAGGAAATACACCATTTTATATATTAAAGTTATAATTAGTTATTTATAGGCAGTTAATCCAACTTATCTTGTTAAACTTTTTTTTATTTAGTTAGCTTTAAAATTAAGTCAATTTTATAGACGTTTTATAATTTGTAAAATAAAATTGTTGTTTTTAATTGTTGCTGTTTTTCTGAATTGGAATTAAGTGTAAAATTTCTTGATGTAATATATAAGGAATACTACAGTATGCACAAGAAGAATGTACGAATTGCTTAATGGATTCGGTATTCAAAATTCCATAAACGCCAAGGAATTCATCTTCAGACTAAGACGAAGTACACAATAACACCGCGTCTAATTAAGCACTCGTACTTACGTAAAGTATGTTTAGCAAGTTGCGAATGCAGGCAATTAAATATTCATTTTTAAATTACTGCATCTCCTCCGGTCCTACTGTTAACTGTAACTTCGCTGCATGCACGGCTCTGCTTACATCAGGATTAGCGAAAGCCAGGAGCGAACAGGCGCAGCCAGACGCTATAATTTCGAAGTGAAACAACGACAATTCATAGGACGTAATTTATATTTAAAGGAGCCATTATACGAAATCAACCCGAGAAATTAATACCCATTCTCCAATTCCCAATGATTCGAGCAGCTTTATCTCGCTGTGCCAATTCGACACTTCGAAGTAATTAAAACGAGTTTATATATTATGCAGGAGCGAACAGTCACAACAAACAGTCGGTATTGGAATTAGCTCACTTAATTAAAGTCTCTTCTTTGCAATGTCCAATTGAAATTAAGAGATGGAACAAATGATACTATTTACACTTTCAAATGGATGTAATATAAATAGACAAATAGATCCAATTAAAGAAACATGATCTCAGGATAGACAATTGACTTAATTTACATTTTAAGCCAAAATACATCACTCCTACATCGAAGTGTGATATTTCATACATATAGTGAAGAAAAAATAACATGTTGACGAATGTTCTTCAGGATATATAAAGAAATGTATTCAAATTGGAGAAATAACGTCGAAGATAGTTGTAATAATAACTAGTTCATATGAATGAAAATTAGAACAAGCTAAAACTTAAAAAAAACAACAAAATAAAAGAAAGTTGCTTAAATTAGACCGGCGTCTAGGTTGGACCACTATTGAATCTTATATTGGGATTTTATACCAAATGGTAAAATTGACTTATACAATAGCTTTGATTATAGTGTATCACATATGCAACTAGTGAGTAATTATGATTATGAGGGAATTAAGTTAGCAAATAAATTTGTTTAAAAGAAGCTAAAAGTAATATTGCTCAAATTATATTTACGAATATGGAAATTAAGCTTAGTGATCTATCTTGAAAAACCAGTTGCTTTGATTGGACTGATCTCAAATGCAAATTAAATTAGAATGTATTAATTATAATATTTATTGTCTATATTTACTAAAAAGACAAATAAAATGCTCTGTTGATTGTATATAAGAAATGTATTTTCTTTTTCTGAAATTTGAATGTGGTCCAATCTAGGCAACATATTATTGAAAATATTACACACTCGCAGAAACCATCAATCCATCATTCAATCGCCACAAAATCACAAAATCACCAAATAACCCCACACACTACTCATACACACCATCTTTACAGACACTCCCCCACACACACCTCATCTGCAAACAAAATCTCACACACACAATACCCCACAATCAAATATCACAAAATAC